TTAAAGTAGAGAAATGGACTCTGAAAGGCCATTAATGTGGATTGAAACAGGACACCTAGCTCTGACTGTATAAAACAATGGGGTGGGTGGAATTGTGGGGCAATGTGACTTCCCCAAGCCAGGGATTAAAGCGGGAGCTGTGCTAGTCCATGCTCCCATTCATTTTAACTTCTATCTCCTCCCGCCCCGCAACCCACCCCATCACTGTTTGTGGGCAAAGATGAGTGTCAACACCACATAGCACCAGCAGATGGCGCTGCCTGTTAATCACTAGAGCTTCAGTCTCTGGACAGGGAAAAGGTGGGAACCAGCTCGAAAGATGGAAGGTTTTTATTTTAACTGTCTGAAAAGCAGTCACACGTCGCTCATGCAAAACAGTGTGAATTAGGCTGGCTGGTCGGAGTCCAGTTGTAGGTGGGAAGGGGCCCACGTCCCAGAAAGAGCTCTATCATTGGTCCGCTTGTCGGCATTTTCAGTAGAGAGCCTGAGGACTGGATGGGCCATCGAGCCTGCATCCCACTCTCACCCTTAAAGGGGGTCCCTTCAGTTCGGAGTTGAGGTGTGTTGGTGGGGGATGTAATGGGGCAAGCACGTCTTCATGCTGCACGTGCCCTCTTGGCTCTGTGGCTATAAAGGACCCCGCGCTCCACAGCAGTCAGTCTGGCAGCTTTCCCTAGCACGAAAAGTCATTTCAAATTTTATTGAAAGGTTTTTTAGAAAGAAGCAGAGCTGATGCCTGTGTGAAGGTGACACCATCCTCAGTGCTGTGCTGGAAACAGCACCCGGAGCCATGTCCTGGTCCCAAAAGAGGCAGAGCCAGCGCTCCATCCCCGCTCAGAACTTGCTCTCCGAGAACATAAACAACTCCTGCCACAGAACAAAAGGGGAGGCACTGCAAAGGTAAGTGATTTTATTTTACATAAAATCTCATAGGATTAAGAATGTGGGGTCAGCTGGATACAGACATATCCTGTCTGTGAGATTTCTGGTGTGAGATCTTGCTTCACCTGTATCAAGACTTCAGGAGGTTCCCGCTCCTTTGATATGCTGTCTGTGACATTCCGCCTACCGCAGAGGAGTTGCCTCTTTCTGCAGCATATCTAGCCAGGGTGGGCTGGCCTCTATCATCAAAAGTCAAGGGTCACACATGCATAATGCAAACTATTCAGTGTTAATGCAAGGAATGTGGAAAGGTTGTCTTTAATGAACATTGATCCCTGCATATACAACACTTGCATTCTTCCTGATATGTGGGGGAGGGGTTGCTCTACTCGGGGCCTGTTGGTGGGAAAGCTCTGTCTTCTGCACCCATGGCTTTCTTACTCCCAGGGCTGATGGTTCCAATTCAATGTAGCTGCCATGGAGAGGGTGGGGAGGTTATGATCATGCAGGACAATGCTCAGGTACTGGAACTTGAACCGGTCTGATGGAGGGATTTTGAAGGTAAAGGTTGATACCTTGAATTCAGCCATGTATTGAATTGTAAGTCAGTGCGGAGAGCGGAGCGCTGGGCAGATGGGTTCTCCATGGCCTGTGTTGCTGCATGGATGGGTTACTGCGTTCTGCACTAATTGTAATAAAAGTGGGCAGCCTCTACAGAGCATTTTGGCAACGAGCCATGGCAATTCGCACACTTGCCACCTCCAGGCGGCAGTCTGAATCAGACAGGAGGGGGCAGTGTCCTCTTGCTAGCTGTAGATGGGAAAAAGACATTTCATAGCTGTGGTATTTTATATATCCAGAAGCTGTGGACCATGTTAATAATCTGAAGGCAGATGCCCTCAAAGGAGGCCGACATTTACAGAGGTGAATGCCCAAAAGTATCCGCTCCACCCTAACTCATCCAATTCCCATTTGCTTTAAACCAAAGCCTCTCCTAAACTGAACTGTGTGATTAGGTCTCCCCACGAATCATTTCCCAGTTGTTCCTCAAATACCTGGACCCACTTCTTCTTATCCAGTTTTTGATGTCTCCCAAACATGTCTAATTAATAGGTATCATTAGATACCATCTAATGTAGGTATCATTGCTCAGCATTTTTTCCAATAGGCTAAGTTTGACTTTAAATGCGATAATCAGATCATTTAGGCCCCAAACAAAGGTTTCTGTAAGCTAATAACCTCATACTTCATGCATCCCGCTTTTGATGGCATCATAAGGAAAGACATGGACCTAGATGGTAAAAGGAGGTCTTGCTGTGAAGAACATGCCCAGCAGATGTTAAATCTCAGAAGGGACAACACTGATCTCTTGTTTTCTGACAGGTGGGATTTCTAACTTCTAGCCTAATAATAACCGGAGATTTTTCATTAACAGTGCTTTTAAAAACTCTCTGGAAACAGCTTTGTTATTGGTGGTGCATGGATTTAAAGAGTCCTCCGCAGTGTTTGCATCCCAGACATCACAGCACTGGCCTAGTGCATGAATGCCAAGAAGTGCAACTGACTAGTCTCATTGTCTAAGCAGTGTGAAATGCAAAAAGTAACATTCTTTCACTTTTACTGGTCCTAAAACATTGGTAATGAGGCTGGTAAGGAAGTGAGTTTAAGTACATGATTTTGAAACCCGAGTGACCCTCTGATCCTCGTTTACTGAGTTTTATTTAAAGCTGCAAGTATTTCCTATTGATTAGTGTGGCCAACACTTTTTGAAGTTTCAAAACTGATACTATTCCAGGCTGGCTGTGGGTTGAAAAAGAAGGGGTTTATGCATTGCACACTAGAGTGGGATTTTCCATTTTGCAAGAAATTCCAAAACTTCCCCCCAAAAAATCGGTCTGAAACAGAACACAAAAAAATATTGAAATTTCCCACAAACTGAAATTCGGGGGGGGGAAATCATTTTGGATCAATCAAACTGTTCCATTTTGGTAAAACTGAAATGTTTCATTTCAACTTTGACTTTTTATGTTATTTTATATAAAATACAAAATTTTAAGCAATTGAAACCAAAGGTTGTTTCAAAACAGAAAATGGGAACATTACATTCCAGGATTTTTCCAAATGAAATGTTGTCAAAATCAACATACTTCTGCAAAATGTTCTGCTTTTAATGAATTGGCATTTTCTAAAGGAAAAATGTTTGTTGGAAAATGTCTGACCAAGGCCAAATTCAGGATTGATTTATAAATAAAGGCACCCGCCCTTCCACTGTTTGTTTCTCTTAGACCACTTACCAGCTGCTACCAATGTGTAACGGAGTTTCAACTGGTATAACTTACATACAAGATATAAGAAGGTGTAAATGAAAGTAGGGTGGGGGTTCTTACCTTGACCATCTTATACGTTCCCTGGGCCTTTAGCACGCGCCTCATGCCAGCTTAGACTTCTATGCAACTCCCTTTGACTCATACCCACTTGCTAATGTGTATCTTACAACTCAGCACATGTCTGAACTTGGCCGACTGCATCTGAGTGTCAGGGAAAGTCTATCTAGCTCCATCCTGAGCTCCCTGTAGACTGACTTATATTCACTTGTGAATTTGGCCCTTAGTCCCTGCAGGTCCCTGCTAGAAAACCAGAGATCAGGATTTCCTTTCAGAGGTAATATCTCCTGGGCAAGTTCTTCACATCAAGACCACCTAGGCCCACATCTTTCCTTATGATGCCATTGAAACTGGGATTAATGCACATGACATTTACACTTTGGATGAGGGAGCACTTTTTTCTGGTGCCTGCTAACGTTTGGCAGCAACAAAGAGGAGTTAAATAGCACAAGGGAAATGTATCCATGTGGACTGGGAGACTGAGAGCCAGTTGCCCGGCAGCTAAGCTCTGACAAGCAGCAGTAGCACACGCCCACACAAAATTCTCACTGCTGGCCAAACCAACAAACAATGGCCAAGGTTTGGGAGGTTTGCAAACAGAGAAAAATGCTTTTCCATCCTGCCTCAACAATTTTGCAGGGGAAAAAAAGGGAAGTTGGGCATGGGGCGGAAGGGAGCAGCGCAGCTTTTATTCATTGCTGCAAACGTGATGACATGATCTGACTGTCCACTGGAGAAAATTCCTGGTTTTGCTCAGGGGAGTTTGCAAGTTTGGTGCGAAAGCAGCAGGAGGGATGCTGCCAGGCACGGCAGAGGTGTGTCAGCAGGGCTATGTGGGGATAGAATGACTGGAATAACAGTGAGTGCAGACGCTCAGGCGCGAGATGCGTTGAGAGAGACGCATGTGAGCCCAGGACTAAAAAACGAAGTGGGGTTCTGGGGCTAGGACTGAGGAGCACAATGGGGAAGCTTGTGCTGGCGTGACTTGTTCTGTGGCTAACCTTCAGTCTCCAGGCCTCAGTCAGACACCTGCAACTGGCCTGACATTTGCTTGCCAGAAGATAAAATCTCCTATTAAACCTAGTGGGATTGCTCGTGATATTCTCAAATGAAGGCTATACAAATCAAAGCCAAGAAAGCAAGCAGGCCAGGGGGAGCATGGGGAACGTGCCTCTTGATCCAGGTGGACCAGAGGGAACCCCCGCTGCAGGGCGAGTCCTTGCGCAACAATCTGATAGTTGACGTGCAAAAGCCAAGCGCCAGATAAATCACTCTCTCCCTGTCTCCTCCCCCTTTCCACTCCTTGATCCATCCCAGAAGAGAAACCCACTATGCTTTTCACAGCACTGATGAACACACACGAGTTCTCTGAAAGCTCTGCAGCGCTCCAGCTACTGCATTTTCCCTTCCCTTCCCTTTTAAGATCTGCCTTTGTTTGCATGATTTAAAAAAAAAATACCAGCACAACAGAGGAGGGCACAGGAAACGGGGGAGCTCAGAACCTTGCAGACAGACAGGGGTGCTGCATATGCATTGGGTCGCAGACATGCACAGAATTAGCAGGGAGAGCAAAGACCATGCAGTTGATAGGGGAGCACAATATCCTTTGCATTTTGCCAAGGAAATGAAGGAGCCTCTTATTTCCCCCAACCCCTCCCCAGACTGGCCTATTGTGTGCAAAGACGTCGCCCAAACCCCTCCCTCCCCTCGCTGCTTTCACTCTCAGCCACCTTTCCCTTTCCTGTTCATTCAGAACAGATGATGCTCCTGATCACATGTGCACAGCTCTTCTCCCTCCTCCCTTCCCCGGCCCTTTAAGTAGCTTTATTACTCGGAGAATTCATTTGTACTACACACAGCCAGAGAGAGAGAGCAGGCAAAGGGAGGGAGATTTAACAGGCAAAAGTAGCACCATGGTCTGGGGAACCATGGCATCTCTGTCAGAGCCAGCAAAGGCCTGGGATGGCTAGGGGCAGAGGATGTGTGCACTTAAATCCACAGCACAACATAAATGTTCTGTAATACCAGGCAGGAGGCGGTAGGGTGGGAAGAGCTTGGGATAAGAAGACCCCAATGCTTTGGTGATGGCATGGACCGGACGCCCTTCCAGCGACTGTTTTTACCTTCCTCCCAGTTCTGTCTCCACCGGGTCCCCCAAAAGCATGAGGGAGCAAGACTGATGCAGAGCCATTGTTAGCAAGTAAGTTACCCTATTGTTTATTTGCTTCCCATCTCTCTCTCTCTCTCTCTCTCTTTCTCTTCTCTGGCTGCTGCCCAGAAGGCAGGAGGACTTCAGTGGACCGGTTCCTCGGTCAGCCAAGCACAAGGATGCTCTACCCAGCCGCGTGAGGGAGACAGCGGGTAAATAGGTGCTGTCTAACTGCCAGGGGACTATTGGGGAAGATGGGAGCCGGATTCTGAGCTTGGACACGCCATTGTCACTTTGAGAAGGGTGTTGTGAGGGTAAATTGTGAGGCACCCCCATACTATGGTAATCGGCATTGTATAAAGACCAGAGAGAGAGGTGCTGCCCAGCCCTGGAGCCAATGGAGCGACTCTGGGTTTGCACCTGGGGTTAAAGGTTAAACTGTAAATTTAGGGCATTTACTGTTTCATTTGGGGTTCAAAGAGCAGCTGGAGTTTAGCTTCTGCTTTGTTGTTGTTGTTATTAAAACGAATCTTTGAAGTGCATGAGGCTGCTTAGTGCCTGGGGAATCCCAGTTGGTTCTGTGGACATATGTGGCCATGCCGCATATCAGGGTGGCCTATTTGTCAGCTGTCTGAGGTGATTGCCCAGGGCACTCTGACTCCCCCGGCTTGGCAGTTTTCCAGCATGCTGGACTGACCTAATGTCCTAACTTTTATTCAATCTATTTTTCACTCCTTGGTGAACTGTGTGTCATGAGCCGCCTGGGAACCGGCAAAGCTCTAACACTTCTGAGCCAGTTCCCAGCAGAATCATGTCTTAGGGCTAATCACAGGACTGACTGATCAGCAGTCGGAGCCAGCTTGATTTGTTTGGGGTTGACCCAGGGTGGAACGTCAGGGGCCAGGGTCTGAGCTGGCCTTTACTGGGTTGGTTAATTAGTATTATTATTCAATATTTGTATTACTGGAGCTCCTAGGGGCCCTGGTTATAAACCAGGACCCCACTGTGTTAGGTGCTGTACATACACAGAACAGAAGGGTGGTCCTTCCCCTAAAGAGCTGACAATCTGGCTTCCCAGCTCTGAAATCCTGCTAGCAAACAGAGCCTGCGCCCTAGATAAGGAAATTATTTTGTGCTAGGACTGTAGTGGAACAAGCTTGAGGGTGGGGAGAAGTGAAATTGGACCTTCGCACTAGCTCTCCACCATGAATTGGCCAGTCCAGACAGCTAGAGAGGATCTAAGTAAGTTTCGTGTCATTCAGATAAGCGTGTCTAGAAGTGGGGCAGGCTGTCTAACTTCTTGGGCTCAATTCTCCTCCCCCTCGCTCTGAATTCCATCAGTGATCCCAGGCTCAGAAGTCTTCCAGCCCAGTTGCGCAGCCCCGGGATCTTTGAAGAGTCCAGAGAAGCAGGCAGGATTCTAAGTGCTGATCCAAGCCAAATCTCTGAACCTTTTAACGTTAGAGATAGCCCTTTCCTGTTGGTCTAAAGAGCTGCCCAGATGTTTGCAGTAAAATCTGCGTTCCATCTGCACCTTGACACTTAACCAGCTATGTAACTTTGGGCAGGTCACTTCACCTGTCTGTACCTCAGTTTCCCCCTCTGTGAAATGGGGTTAACAGTACCATCCTATCTCACTGGGTGGGGGGGGGGGTGTTGCTTAGCCAGTTCATCTTTGAAATCCTCAGAAGGAAGATGCTGTAGAAGTGCTAAGCAGTGGTCATATTATCGTCCGTTTTCCAAGCAGGAACAGGATTATACAGTGACTCTTGATTACTGTTGGGGATGGGAGAATTGAATAATATATGTGCTCAACAGCAGAATTATTTGTGCCTGGGCTTCCCCATAGCCTGGGTAGGGGAACGCCTTAACCCGGTTCTCTCTTGGGGCATCCAGAGAACATGAACTGCCAGTAACAGGATGATGGTCAGTAACTCACGATGAGCTGGGAGATGGGGCATTGGCAGCCCCCCAAAGACATCAGAAGGGCAACAGGCATTCCCAGAAGTAGATAGTGGGACAAGTATATGGGAAGCGGAGCTGCTTCAGGGAGAGCCCAGCCCTGGGGAGAGCCGCTTCCTTGGAATAACGCTGGATCAAATAGGCTTATTTTCAGGTTTGGTTTATGGGGAGCCAATCATCAACTGAATATTAGCGAGTCAGTTAAGGATCTCTGAACATCAGCTTATGCATGCTTCCCTCATCATACTATGTTTTATTCACACTCCCCACTTAGTTATTTTGTACTAATTACATTCCCCCATCCACCCCTTGCAATATTTACACTCCCACTGAGCCAGTCATTATACCAGGCAATATACACTCCCTGGTCTTTATATTATGGTAACTACATGCTCGCCGGTCATTATTTTATATAAAACAGCACTTGCTCTGTTAATTCACAGGCTGCTTGCGGGGTCATTAGAACAGCTCATAAAGCATTTCCCAGTCTCTATCTTTTGTGAAAAATACAATTGTTTTGTTTTTCATTAAAATGTTAGCTCCTTTGCTGTATTTTTATTAGAGTAACCTCGGTATATTTGTAATACACCCACAAGTTTGTATTTTACATATGATTTTTCATGCTTTAATTCCTGCTGGAAAAATGCATTCACAGCCCCCTCCTACTCTCCACAAAGCTGGCATAAATAGAAATAAAATAACAGATTTTATTTTTTTAGTTTATTCCATTTTTCAAAAAGCTAGCAGTAAAAACAGAATTTTTAACCCCTAGCAATCAAAATAAGATGTCAATTTGTTCTGTCTCATAGAAGGACAACGGTCAGAGTCTCTGCTGGTGTGAATGGGCTTGACTCCATTAAATCTGATGGAGCTGCAACTGTTTATACCAGCTGTGGATTTGGCCCCTAGTCTAATTAGGCAGAGGCCATTATTGGTGTAAAATTTTCTGAAGCGGTTCTGGTGAAAAAGCCCTATCTAATTTAGTGGGTATGAGATGCTGTAGAAAGCTCTATAGAAATTACTCTAAAAATCTATAGGATTTCATAGAGAATGATTACAAGTTTCGTTGAGCAACTGAAGTTGTCTATAGTAGGAGTATCACTCAATTAAATTGTATATAGGATAGTTCAGAAAACCTTTCTGCCATTGAATCACTGTTTGGTCTTGGGCCAGGTATTCTGTGCCTCCGTTTTAGCCATCTGGGACGTTGGTTCAGTACTGACTTAAAAGTAAGCGTCACCTATTCAACAATCAACACCACTTCCCATGGCAACGTGGGCAACTTTCCATGACCACATGCACTTGGAATTCCCTTGCTCTCCCATACCGATACCAATCAGTCCTGACCCTGCTTGCAGGTGAGAGCTAAGGGGCTCTTTGCAGAAGATGGTGTAAATACAGATCATTAGCTAGAGCTGTATTTGTACAACTCTGAAATCCATTAGGCATTCTGTATGAAGATAATATATGATCAGCTGAAGTTATGTGATCAATTGTTCTTCATGTTCACTGAAGGTAGGACAAGGAGTTATGGGCTTAATCTGCAGCAAAGGGGATTTAGGTTAGATATTAGAGAAAACTTTCTAACTCTCAGGGTAGTTAAGCTCTGGAATAGGCTTCCAAGGGAGGTTGTAGAATCCGCATCATTGGAGGTTTCTAAGAACAGGTTGGACAAACACCTGTCAAGGATGGTCTAGGTTTACGTGGTCCTGACTCAGCGCAGGAGGGAGGTCCCTTCTCCATGGGGTACAGGAGATGTTGCCTTTCTTTTTCAAAACAATTTTCAGCCATACAAGAAACCATGAGGCTTTTATTCAGTGGAAGGAAAGGAGAGAGGGCAAGTGTTCAAATTTGGACAAACTATCCTCAAATTTGGGAGTTCTGGGTTCAAGTCCTTGCTCTGACACAGGCCTCCTGTGTGACTTTGGGCAAGTCCTTTACTCTCTCTGTGCCTCAGTTCCCTCTCTGTCAAATGGGATGTATAGCATTTCCCAGCCTCACAGGGGTATTGGGAGGATAAATGTATTGAAATGGCGAGGTGCTCAAACACTATGGCAACGGGGCCATATTGGAACCTGACTGAGGACAAAAGAGCTCTGGAATATTAGCATGCTGATCATCTAGTGTTCAGCGGAGGGCTAGACAGACAGGAAGCATACCGACAAAGAAGTGTAACTACCCATAAACCTCGTCTCTCCCCATATTCTGCCAACTTTCTGCCCCGAGAAATTTTCTTACTACCCATTTTCTGAAAGACCGAACAGCCTGTGTTACAATATTCCTAAGCATAACAAACTCTGAGCAGACAAGCAGTCATCAACCTGGCTCTGTAACAAGCAGCAAAGCCATCTCACTTCCTTTGGTAGCTGCCCAACTAATCATCAATCAGCCCCCTTTTGTTTCCGTGGGTAGGTATCTCCTGCAGCCCCAGAGGGATTTTATTGTAAGTTGGCACTCAGTTTTGTCAATGTGTTAGAAAAGTGATCCTTCCAAGCTAATGAAAACTCAGAGGAAATGAAAGGAACCTTGATACTTTGGTGCTGAGTGAGATTACACTTTAAAAAGGAATTATTGGGCGGGAGAAGAGAGAGAGACAAGGTAATTCAGCGTCTATGCTTTGAACCGCATGTTTATCGCTGAAGTGCTGTCAGTTTCCCTCCTATATAGTTTTTCTTAAATGTTTTGCCTTGTCTATTAATAACAACAGAGTAGCTCTTACACAGTATTTTTCATCCATAGATCTCAAAGCACTTTGCAAAGGAAGCAGGTCTCATTAGCTCCATTTTACAGATAGGGAAATGGAAGCATAGGGAAAAGAATTGATTTACTCAAAGTCGGTCGGGTTGGTCTGTTTCTCCCATGTACTTTCACTTAGGTTCTACAGACAGATTCACCCTCATGAAGAACAGGCAATAAATGAAATAAGTGAATGGAAAGCTACCTTCTTTCAGGGAAATAAAGATCCATTTGGCAATAATCATCTCTGTAGCATGCATCCACTACCCAATAGATTTGCAAGGGCCAGCCCTCCCTAATGGCATTCCTCCATTCCACCCTGGCTTCTGCTCAGTTTGCCTTCTCTGAACTCTTCTGTTTCAATTCATTTGCCTGCAAATCTGTCTGTTATCTGTTCCTGGTGATAGGGATCCACCTCTATGGGCCTCCTTCAGTCAGGTACTTTAATTTGATTGCTGTGATGTAACAAGAAGGGACTCTGCATCTCAGATTGAGGGCTATGGCTGCATTCGATGTGGCGCTGGCAGAGGGACAGCAAAAGAACAGCTCTTTCAGCAATAATCATTCCATCAGAGTGTTTATCCAGCAGTCTATTACTGTACCTGACTGACTGCCTGTCCCTCTGCCCTGGCCTCTCTCTCAGACTCCATTCCTGTATTGTTATTGTGCAGCCTGGCTTCTACAGCTTTGAAGTGATCGAATTTAGAAAGAGGCATAGTGCAGACAGGTGCAGCATCCACACAGCTCTGCTGGTGCACCACAGTCCTGACCTGCAGAACCCCTTGATATTCCAGTCCGGGGCTCCACGCAGCTCTGCTAATGCACGTCAATCCAAACTTGCAGAACCAGCCCTCTGCTCCCATGCAACTACCAGTGCGTCTCAGTCCTGATCTACATTGCAGCTCCCCAGCCCACTATTCCAAACCCCTCTGGAACAGAGATTGGCAGTTCTGCTCCCTAAGGGGTGGTAGTTTTATAAATATAAACATCTTATGGTTAGTGCACAGATGGTTCACATGGCTGTGGAAAGTTTTGAACGATATGTTTCTGTTAAGGAAAAACCAATTTGACTTACCATTGTAATAAGGTGACAAAAAGGGATTTGTTTAGATTTTCTTTCTGTTTTTATGATTCTCTGGATTCTCACACAATACATTGCCAGATTATTATTATTATTATTTATTATATTATACAAACAATTCCCACAGTGCCTAAAGGCATCAGCCATGATTAAGATCCCACCATGCTAGCACTGTACAAACACCTGTTAAAGGGTTATGAGTCCGACTGCCAAGACAGAAGAAAGGGTGGAAGAAAGGAAGAGGTATAATCCCCACTTTATAAAGAGGGAACTAAGGCACAAAGAGATTAAGTGATTTAACCAAGGTCACGTAGGAAGCCTCTAGCAGAGGTAAAAATTGAACCTAGCTCTCCTGAGTCCTGTCTCTTTTTGCCTTAACCATAAGGCCATCCTTCCCCTCCAAGAAAAATGTTAAAACCTGTCCCTATTGAAGTTAATGATGAAATCCCCATTGCCATTAATGAAATCTGGATTTGACATAAATTCTTCACAAGAAAAAAAAATTAACCCTGCTAAGAAAACAGAAGTCCGCTCTTGACTTTTTGGGGGTGTTTGTTTCGGGGGGAGGAGGTGCAAGAGGTACATCGACTCTGTATGGAAGCAGCCATGGGAAAATGATGCCCTCTGAAGTTCATCTAAAAGCCATCTCGTTCTATTTCAGCAAACCTAAGATCCTTTCCCTTAGTGCCCCCTCCTCTCCTCAAGTCTGGCATCTGCACAAAAGCTGAGCGATACCGAGAAGCCTGATAAAAGGCCTCTTTGCCGAACTGATAATGCACCGACTCTCATCTCCTTTTGCAGCAGCTCCGGCAGCCTGTCTAAAAGGAGTATGTGGCTTTGTACAAAAGTGACATTTTTATTACCCTGGCCTTGTTTAACCAAGGACAGTAAATGCCAGTGAAACATAGTGGTACCTGTGACTGACCATCAGAGGCAGTTCCAATCTCTGAATCTACTGCTAGAGAGAGAGCAGTACTTCACAAACTGAAGGCTAATTCTCCCTTGCTTGCTTGCACTCAATTACCATTAACCAGGGGGGATGTCTGTGCATGGGGAGGGTAGTTATGTCTGTGGAATAAAGGAGGAATTCAAACTTAGATCTGTACTGTTCTCCCTTTTTGCTATATGTTATGTTGACAAATGGGCGATTTCAAACCTCTGTGGTCAGGGGAGGTTCCCTACAAGACTTACAATTATATTTGCCTAGTTTTATAAATAGAAGTAGTGTTAATCCCCCATTTTACAGATGGGAACTGAGCCTCTGAGAGGGGAAGCAATTTGCTCAAGGTTACAAGTCGGTCATGGACAGAGCCAGGAATAGAACCCAGGTTGGTCTCTTGATTCCTAACCCTGTGCTCTAACTGCTAGATCATGCTTCCTCCTTTTAGAAGAGGAATTAATCTCCTACATGAAGAGGACTGTGATCGATTACTTGTATCACTCAGCTAGAAGAAACTTAAACTGCAACAGAGGAAATGAAGGTTAAATATTAGGACAAATTCTAATTACAGTGAAATGGGCAGTACAGTTCACCTGCAACAGGCAACACTTCTGCTTTGAGGGCTCTCTTTTAAGTATCCCCAAGATTTCCCGAACAATTTCACTTGACCTGTAGTTAAAGACCAGCTGTCCTAGCAACCAATTTTTGCCAATCCCCTGGGTGCTTTTGCTTATGGCAGGTTTCAATGTCCTTTCATTAACAGCTAGTCTCTCCAGGCTGTTTTTCATGAGACAGGGTTGCAGGGATTTTTGATTTCTGGCCAGATTTTGATCTTTTCCTGTCTTGCATTGTATAGAATCTGATCGCTCATATCTGTGTCTTGGGCTATGCTGTGCTCTCTTTCAGTGTCACTGACAGCAGAGTTTCACTTCACATACCCTTAACAACTAAAACTATTGTCTTTAGTACAGTTTCTTTTTTGACTGAAATCATGCACAAATTTGCCTACAAAGTGGATACTTTTTTTTTCCTTTCCACACCCCTCAAGCAACCAGAACCTGTTTTGGTTTTTAGGTTTCAATAATTAGGGTTTTAGATTAATAAAAAAAGGGGGGCAAGCAAAGAAAGAATAAAGGGAAAGTCTTTATCCAGTGTGTTTCTTCTGCACCTATCTCCACTGCACTGAACCACTGTTTCTATGCAGATTCTCCACTGACGTGCGCCTGCCACTGGCATTTACAAAGGGTGGGTAAACGGACCCTGCCATTCTGACACCCACACTGGGCACAGATGTCAATGGACACGCATTATGCAAGGCGGCAGAGAATCAGACCTGACGTTGCAAGAGAGTTAAAGGGGCAGTACACAGAAAACATTAGGCTAATAGCTACATAGCTCACTCTGCCACCAGTCATCACCAGGCAGGCTCTGCAATGCTGGGTATTCTGATGCTTCAGTGCTGGGAGGGCAGGAGAGTTTGGTAAATGATGGCAGAGGAGAAGTTAGGTCCAGCAGCCCACTGGCTATAGCTGCAGTAACGGTATTTTTCTTCTCCCCCTTTGCAGAGGGGGACACCTGGTGGCAGTAACATCTCCCTTTCATGTGCTTCCTTCTCCCGTATAGGAAAAACTCTGCTGAGGGAGCCAACTTGCCATCACTGGGACCAGAACCCAGGTCTTCTAGACTCTCAATCTCTTGCTCCAACTACAAAGGCAGGTTGTTATCTTGGCTCAGGTAACTGGTCAATCACTGGCACCCATGCTGTAGTGAACCAGTAGACGTGGCTCCATCAATAAACTCTGGCTGCTTTTTGGAAATGCTGCTTTTGGTTGATTTATGTAGCTTTGATACAAGGGGTAAGAGAAATTCCCTGCTGGGAATTGCAGAACTGGCTGCAATACAGTAGAAGCAGAAATTCGCTGCCTCGTTTATTTGTCTTTCGGCTTCCTTCCCACCCACCCTTAATACTTTTTTATATTGAAAAACTGAAACCACTTTGCTCAGCCTTAAGCTTTGTCTTTCCCAAGACACTCTTAATTGTATCTCTGTACCTCTTCCCATTCGCAGATGCATAAGAAGATTAAAGATAGAACTGTAATAGATTTGGTTAGGTTTTAATAAGATTTGCTAAGGACACTGCAGAGAGCGCATATCATGGAGAATGTTGCTACTCTTTCTCTTTGATATACTGAAGGCTTCTTAGGCAGCTCTGCACAGGAAACTCTTTCTCTTCCCTGAGTTTGAAGATGGAATTCTTGATTTTCAGTAGAAGAAATAGTTTCCATTAAAGAAAGCAATATCTACTTTATCATTTTAATGTTCGGTGAAGATGATTTTACATTGTAACCTGACAGGAGTGACGGGCGCTCATATCATCATCTGTTTATAATTAGTCAAGAAAAGATTTTGACAAAGACCATGGGCCTTTTAGAAGAGATCTAAGAAACTAAATTTTCAAAAGTGACTAGTGATTTTGGGTACCTAACTTGAGTTGCCTTCAAGGGCGTCTGATTTGCCGATTGGTGTCCGGCACTTTCTGTAAACCAGCCCCTTCAAGGTCTCTTAAGTTGAGCCCCAAAAATTGAGGCACCAGAAATCACGAGTCCCTTTGGAAAATGTCCAAATTGTCTTCACTTCTCATCCCTCCCTGCCTTGTATAAAAGAAGCCTAAAGAGCTTTTATTTAAAAAAAAAAAGTATTGACCCAAATCTGTAACAAGGTAAGTGCAAACTTACTACCAAGGGAAAGGGGCCATTCAAAGCAAGTAGTTCACCACTCCTGCTTCACTCCATTAGCATTCTCTATAAATGAGGTAATGATAAAGGTGTTAAATAATTACTTCTCATTATTTAACCTTAAAAGAGGCGTCAAAAATAATACCAGAAGAAGGGAATGGCCCTACCAAAAAGCTCTTCTCATGCAGGATGCACGTGTGTCCAGCATTCTATGATCAGGAGACAAAGCTTTTCAATCTGGTGTCAATGTTGCACAGTGTGCTATCACCCCTTTGTGTAATCTGACAGCAGCACTGGTTTGGCAAAGCTATTTTCCCGATGTCTTAAATGTTGTTTCCTTTTACCTTGCCCTAGCCCAACTATGGCTGGAGATTCTCGGATCTTCATGAACCAGGACATGGAAATTGGAGTCACACCCATGGATCCCAAGAAGTTTCCCAGACAGCCGCGGGACTATGTCCCTATCGCCACTGACCGAACCCGTCTCCTGGCAGCAGAAATCAAGAAGCCGCGCCAGCGTTACATGGAGAAGAGTGGCAAATGCAACGTGCACCATGGAAATGTCCATGAAACCTACCGGTACCTTAGCGACCTCTTCACTACTCTGGTGGACCTCAAGTGGCGCTTTAACCTCCTTGTCTTTACCATGGTTTATACTGTCACGTGGTTGTTTTTTGGGTTCATTTGGTGGCTTATTGCCTACATCCGGGGAGATCTGGACCATCTCGAAGATGAGAACTGGATCCCCTGTGTTGAAAATCTCAGTGGATTTGTCTCCGCGTTTCTGTTTTCCATTGAGACCGAGACCACAATTGGGTACGGCTACAGGGTTATCACTGAAAAGTGCCCCGAGGGCATCATACTGCTCCTGATTCAGGCTATTCTAGGCTCCATTGTCAATGCGTTCATGGTAGGGTGCATGTTTGTCAAAATCAGCCAACCAAAGAAAAGGGCCGAGACCCTCATGTTTTCCAACAATGCAGTGATTTCTATCAGGGATGAGAAGCTCTGTCTAATGTTCCGGGTCGGGGACCTGCGGAATTCCCACATTGTTGAGGCTTCCATTAGAGCCAAGTTGATCAAGTCCAAACAGACCAAAGAAGGGGAGTTTATTCCCTTGAACCAAACGGACATCAACGTGGGCTTTGATACGGGGGACGACAGGCTATTCCTGGTTTCACCACTCATCATCTCACATGAAATCAACGAGAAGAGCCCCTTCTGGGAGATGTCCCGTGCCCAGCTGGAGAAGGAGGAGTTTGAAATCGTGGTCATCTTGGAAGGAATGGTCGAAGCAACAGGTAAGCTTTGCCAAAAATAACCAGCACAGAGCAAAAAGACAATGCAGCTGGCATTAAAATGTCAACATTTGCCAATGACACCTTGGCTAAGAATATGGTCTTTGTCCCCCGCTCCTCCTAGGGGCTGGTCCATATAAGTGAGATGAGTCTTATACAGCTTCTAAATACAAGAGGGGGTTCTGTGTGACATCACACTAAGCATGGGAGGGGGACCCAGTTTGGGGAGAAGTAAGGGTACGTCTATACCCAGCCGCTAGTTCGGCGGCTGGCAATCGAACTTCTGGGTTCGACTTATCGCGTCTTGTCTGGATGCGATAAGTCGAACCCGGAAGTGCTCGCCGTCGACTGCGGTACTCCAGCTCGGCGAGAGGAGTACCGCGGAGTCGACGGGGGAGCCTGCCTGCCGCATGTGGACCGAGGTAAGTTCGAACTAAGGTACTTCGAACTTCAGCTACGTTATTCACGTAGCTGAAGTTGCATACCTTAGTTCGATTTGGGGGTTTAGTGTAGACCAAGCCTAAGAATGCCCATGTACTTTGTCCACAACTCAAAGCAAACCTGGACTTTCAATGTTCCGAAGTGTTTGGCTAAAAGGCCATCTCTGGCTCCCACCCAGAGGGAGCTAAAGGGGAGCTTCTGTGGCCCTCTACCCAACACTCTCTTCTTAACTGTGTAGTACGTATGGTGGTCTAGTAGTTAGGGTGATGGGCTGGTTTTTAAGAGACCTGGGTTTGATTCCTGACATTCTTTTGCTGGAAGCCATTAGCCAGAAGTTGGAGATGGATCACTTGATGATTACCTTTTCTGTTCATTCCCTCTGGGGCACCTGACATTGGCCAGTGTTGGAAGACAGGATACTGGGCTGCGTGGACCTTTGATCTAACCAATATGGCTGTTTTTATGTTTTAGCTCCAATAGTTGTGACTGAGGCATTTAGTTCTGTAAGTCCCGGGTTCAACCCCAACTGTTGTCATAGTTCTATCCTGTATTTAAAATAGGCTATGACTGAGCTATTTTAGATATCTATTGTTACTGTTCAGTGATGATCCCTCTGCCGTCAGTCACCACTCTGATGGAGGATGAGAAGGGTTGATATTTGTTACACTTTACATTTTCACCAGCTGGGTTAAACTAAACGTTTCAGAAGCATAGCAGCTTTCTTGTGTGTGTCAAGCATAATCATTAGGTGTGTTGGAACAACAGGTGCAGAGCTGGAGTTAAATGGGGATTATTATGTTCTAGTCTGGAATAGTCTCCCAAGGGAACTGGTGGGAGGTTTGTTGCCTAGGTCATTTTAAACCGGACTGAGCAAAGCACAGGGGTATACGCTGTAGGAAACTATCAACTCTCCACTAGCTAGAAGTGACCTAATTAGAGAGGGGCCCAACAGTCACAGAGTCCTGATTTTGAATACTCCCATGTTCAGCCTGTTTTGGATCTGAGGGTTTGGTTGGGGACCTCATCTTTTGACTATGGGTCTTTTTCCATCTCTTGTGTCTAATAATCTATTTAAAACCAAGAATTCTGGTAGAATCTCTATACACCGAGTACTGGTTGCGATATAGGACTGAACTGGCCAAAAACTGGATTGAGGGACAGTAGTCTAAAATGGCACTCGTAATGAATATTAATTTGTATTTACTTTATTTGCATGTATGTAGTATATCTCATGATACATTATAGGTACATGATAAAAGACACTTGATTTCTTCACAAACCTCTTTACAATTATGCGGAAAATACATCTCAATGAGGATCAGAGAGAGAATATGTACAGATCATTTCCCCCCTACTACAGTACAACCACCTCTAGGTGGAATGTAGCAGCCATTAAACAGCACAGAACAGCACCATGTAACAGATAGGATGGGAGAGATATGGCTGGCTGAGCTTTCTTTCCACGCCAAAGCCTCATTGCACATGGATTTGTGGTGCCAAATCTGCAGCTAAAAGCAGTGCTGACTTTCTCAAGGGGAGTTTGAAGAGGGTGCAGAGAGACAGAAAACAGACAAGTGTTATGCATTGTCATCGGGTGTCACCCAGTGTCAATCAATTGAGTGCCAGTGTCCTCCCATGGATAGGTGTTCCCGAACAGTTCTTCCCAAAACTGGAATGCAAAAGTATTTGTAGCACAACATGAAATTATTCAGTGTCTTTAAATCCCTGTCTCACTTTCCAGCAAGTATGAGAAGGCAGATGCATAAGGGAGTCCTTTTAGATCAGAGGGGCTGGAAACAGTCTGAACTCCCTGGAACACAAGAAGTGACTACTTGTTGGCTACTGTAACATCTGTTCCTGATGATTCCCTATGCAACACTAAATATACATGCACCCATTTTCTAGGGCACATTGTTTGTGGAGTGCTCTGTGTAAGGTGGAAAGAGTGTCTCTCTCACCAACAGAAGTGGGTCCAGTAAAAGACGTCATTTCACCCACCTTGTCTCTCTAACATCCTGGGACTGACACAGCTACAATACTGCATACAAGTTGTCTCCATGTCATTTTCTTCCTACCTCACCTTAATAGCTGGCATCACGCTAAGCATGGAAGGGGGACCCAGTATGGGGAGAAGAACTCCCGTTTGCTTTGTCAAAGCAAACTTGGACTTTCAACATTCTGAAGTGTTTGGCTAAAGGCCCATCTTCATCTCCCACCCAGAGGGAGCTGGAGGAGAGCATCTGGGGCCCTCTACCCAACACTCTCTTCTTAACGGTGTGTTTGGCACCGTGACTAGTAGTTAGGGTAGTGAACTGGGTTTTAAGAGACCTGGGTTTGATTCTTGGCATACTTCTGCTGGAGGCCTCCAGGTCTCTATTTCTGGCTAGTCTGCTGACTCTCTGTGTAATCTTTGGTCCATAAAGTAACTTTTCTGAGACCCAGTATCAGATGGGGAAAATGCCTGCCTACCCCACCCCAGGGGTGCTCTGAGTATAAAAGTGCTGGGTGAGTTGTGAAGGGCAGGGCAGGTCTTTCAATGTTCCCTGGAATAGGGTAGGGGTATCTGCAGCCATGTCTGTCCTCAGGGTAGCCTGTAGGGTTACTACCCAGCCAGCAGCATGGGGCGTTAGGAATTAAGTCCCAGCTGGGGAATTCAGAGTTGGCTCAGTGAGGCTGGGAAGCAGAGATGCACCTGAGCCTTGGTAAGTTCAGGGCCTTAGAGTGTGGTTGGGCTAATATCAGGAGAGATGAAGGCATTGTTATCTAGAAGCAAGGACCAAGCCTTCTGGAGGCAGAAGAGCCACCGTTAGTATTGTGCATTTATAGGAAGATCAGCCTTTTGGTGTTTAAGGGGTTAAGCCACAGGAGAGGACTGAGGCTGGTGACTGGGATGAGTTTGGGGGAAGGGTTAGCCCTGTACAGATGGACTCTGAAATGCCAGAGAGGGCTTTTTAACTTAATCTGAGTCCCCTGCAAAGTTTCTCTCCGTGCCCCTGTGTTACTATCATGCCTTACTGGTGGTGCTTGAATGGGCTGCAGTTGTTCCTGACTCTTAAAACAACCTTCACCATACCACTTGGTGCTTTAGCTTCCAAGTTTAAGGGGGCTAGGGGTGGAAAACCTAACTTCTATGAAATTCGCCCCTCCCTCCCTGGTGGCATTCAAGAGCCACTTCTGCGGCCCCCAGAGATACCTGTTAGCATAATTGTGTCAGGAATACGCAAATGGACAAATAAGCAGGTTTTTAACCAATCAAACGCTAATTAAATATGACTACATTGTGCCTTGACCCTGCCAAATCTCTGAGCACAGACAGTCCCAGAGATGGGAGAGCACTGGCTGCCTATTTCAGAGTGTGCTTTAGCACAGATGCAAGCAACCCGCTGGTGAAAATTGGCAGAGCTACGTGGGGTTCACTGGAGCTGGTCCAAGAGTTCCAACCGTCCCACTCAATCAGCTGCAAACGGGTTTGATTACTTCCCGTTTATGCCTATCATGCCATTCGCCTCCAGGGGGCTCCATAATTCCCTAGAACCGGGGTTCTCAACCCTTGGGTCAGGACCCAACATTGGGTCACCAGAATGTTTCAAAGGGGCATGTGGCAGCTCCTATCCCATGGGGCTGGCTGGGCTCGCCTCCCTGCTCCACGCACTGCAATCTCTTGGGTCCCAGCACCACTCAAGTTTGGCCCAGCCGTCATAATGATGGGAGCCAGGGTAGGCCAAATTTGAGTGAGTGGCTCTGCAACATCATCAGCCAGGTCACAGCTCCACTCACACAAATTTGGTCCAATCAGGCTGCCGGGGACAAACCTGAGCAGCGGTGCAGCCACGGAGATTGCACCGCATGGATCGGAGAGCAAAGCCTAGTCCGCCCCGCAGCATAGGAGCTGCAGGAGCCACCATTGTGGGGTGAGTGCCGGGCAGGATGCAAGCCCCTGCTCCCCCCCCCACACACACAGGGGACAGGACCTGACCAAAACCACACCAGGGCTTCCAACCCCAGACTATTTGCTGGGTCGCGCCATAAACATTTACAAATGGGTCCTGAGCCCCAAAAAGGTTGAGAATCACTGGCCTAGAAGGTTTTACTCCAAGAACTCACAGCAAGAGTCACCTACCGGGGCAGACTTTGCTGCAACAGGGCCTAGAGGAAGACGATCCCTCAAACCGCTGGATCCCAGACCATCCCTGGCTTTCAAATTATCAGCCACATTATCAGAAGCAAACAGGACACCAGGACAAAGACAAGCACAGGTGGTGCCCCCAGCTTCTTTCCTTGGTCTTCGGGTGGGTAGCGGCCCTCAGCAATAGCTGCAGCTTCCAAGCAGAGTTTGAGGGTAGTCCTGAATCGATTACATGGCAGCAGTGTAACCTATTTGCAATGCATGCAAGGGCTAATGTAGCATTACTAGGGTGTATTCTTTTACCCGCGGTATATTGTAGAGATAAGCCAATATGCAGATCTGGATGCGAATATTACCAAAGCTCATGAGAATTGGAATGGCAGATTCTGCTTAGAGACCATATCTAGTGTATTGGGCTGTAGTGTCGTGTGTTGGT